AATCGGAAGCTTTCCAAACAATCTTTACTCATCTGGCAGGGGGCTGGGTATGTTCCCCAGACACTCTCCAGAAGCAAACCCCCGGAAACCTGTAGCTTGTATCCCTGCCCTCCTGTGCTCTTGCTGAACTCCAGAGCACCCTTCAGTGAGACAGGAGGACCTGGTGAAGTTTCCTGCTCTCTCTCGTACATCTGCAAGCTTCATCTTATGGCCAAGAAGAGTCTTTTGAAGTTCAAATGGAAATGGGGGAGCATAGGGCAACCATGTATTAGCCTACCATAGCAGAAAACCATAGATTGAGTGGTGTAAATACCAGACTTTTATTTACTTCCTGTTCCAGAGGCCGGGAGTCCTAAGATCAAGATGCTGTTGAATTATTTATTTTTTCTGGGGGCCACACCCAGAAGTTCAGGGATTACTCCTTTGCTCAGGAATCATGGCTGGTGGTGCTCGGGGGCCATCTGAGGTGCCAGGGACAGAACCCAATTGGCTGCGTGCAAGGTAAATGCCCTACCCACTGTACTTTCTCCAGTCTATAACTGGCTTCTTTTGAGGCCTCTTTCTGCTTTGTGGCTGGTTGCCTTTTCTCTGAATCCTCACGCAGCCTTTACCCAGTGTGCACGTACAGGGAAAGCCAGTCTGCTGGGGTCTTTTTTCCTCTTTGTTTCTTGGGGGGTGGGTGGAGTACACCTGGCAGTGCTCAGGGGTCAGTCCTGGTGATATTCAGGAGACCACATTCAGGGATTGGCCACACGCTAGGCAAGTGCTCTACCGCCTGTACTATTGCTGTATCCCTATACAATTCAGGTCTTACCAGTCAACAAACGAGGAACTGCCTTCAGCAGCTGCAGGAAGACCAAGGCCTTTGCTTGTAATCAGGTGCATTCCTGAGACGTGTCTGTGCAGAACTCAATGGAGAGAACACCAGGCACAGTGGCAACCCATCTCATAGACATCCAATTCTTTATTGCTCGCTCAAGTATTGCACTTTAAAAAATTCATAGTCATCAAGGCCTATTTTACATAGAGTAAAATTTCCCCTTTGCTCTGTACAGTTGTCTGAGGTTTGGCAAACAGAAAGAGCAATAACAGTAACTGCCATTCCAAGCTGGGCACAGAGCAGTTTTCTGACTTCAAAACAGTTGTGTGGCTACTTTGAAGTCAGCCTCTCCCTTGAGCTCTAATTCCACCCTTCCCCCCACCCACCCAACCCTATCTGTTTTGCCTTTTCCAGAATGCCATACAAGTGGAAGCATGTGTGTATCATGCAGGTATCATATCAATAAGTATATACAGTTTCATTTTTCACAAAGCACAGTGCATTGAAGGTTCTGTGATCTATCAGTGGTTTGTTACTTTCTATTACTGAGTACCAAGTATGTATCCATTTGTAGATGTTATTTGCCAGTGGAAAGACAGTTGGGTTCTTCCCTCCAGGGCAATTATGAATAAAAGCTGCTATAAATAATTGCATACAGGTTTTTGTGTAAACTTTTCATTTCACTTTGCATATATAAATCCCTACATGTGGGATTGCTGGGTCATGTGGTTCATTTTGAGAAACTGCCCAACTGGTTTTTTTGAAGTGATTTCCCCATTGAATGTATCATCCTCATTGACACTTTTTGTGAGCTCCTTTTGATGTTTTACCTTTCTAATGTGTGAACGCTGTGATATGTCATTATAGGTTTAGCACCCATTTCCCTAAAGGCTGAGTCAGCATCTCTTTGTGTTTTACTTGTCATCTCTATTCCCTCTCTTGGAATATCTGTTCAAACTGTCATATCACCCGTTTTGAAATTAGTTTTATGATTACTGAATTGTTAGAATTCTTTTTTTTCTTTTTGAGCCATACCCAGTGTTACAGCTCACAGATTACTCCTGGCTATGAGTTCAGGGATCATTACTGGAGGGCTTGGGGTGCTGGGGACTGAACCCAGATTGGTCATGTGCAAGGAAGATGCCCTACCCATCTTTCTGGCCCTGCTGTTGGCAATTCTTATGGTTCACCTCCAACAATCGATTGTCCCTCCTTCCCTAGTCTCTCCTACAACCCTGGGAGGCTAAACACGGTGAACTCTGTCCCCTTCTGGCTATTAGCCAGGTGGGTAAGCAGACACAGGTGCAGAGGCAGGGTTCATTGCTCATGCCTTCGCTACTTTAGTGTGGCATTTCTGACCAGGGCTCAGCCGCACCTTTCCCTAGCTTTGGGGAATGCCATTTCACTTCCTGCTCCCTCAAGCCTAGGCTGCATCTGTGGAAATTCTTCTCTTTTTTAGGGGGTGGGGCGGGAGGGAGGTGGTTTGGACCACACCTCAGGGTTCACTCCCGGCTCTGGGCTCAGAGATCACTCCTAGCATGGCTCAGGGAACCCTATGTGGTACTGGGGATTGAACTGGGGTTGGTCTCATGTGAGGCAAAGTACTTTAACACAGTAGCTGCAGCTGCTGTGTTCCTCTCTGGCCCTTATCCTAGCTGTGTATGCTTCGTGCTTCCCCCAGGATTTTGCCTGACTCAACCAAAATATCTAGACAATTACATTAGGAAGTGGCTATGCTATGAAGAAAAACAAAGTAAGAACAAGAGAGCAAAGGCTGGGGTGCTAGTAGGGATCATTAGGAAAAGAGGATGGCAAAGCAGACAAAACGCAGGGGCAACCATGTAACTGAACTGCATCCTGTTCTTCAGCACAGGGAGGACATGTGCAAATGCCTATGCAAATGCCTTAAGGCTTGCTGTGCTTGAGGAACCTGGGGAGATCATCAGAGAAACCTGAAGAGACGACCAGGGCAGAAATTATACTCATCTGCAAAGTTAGGAAGAGATCCAGGGCACAGAGGAAGACCGGGGTAGCCTGAGGCTGCTGGATGCCCTCATCTGGACACAGTCCCCATGAGTACTTCCTGCTGAACTGAAAGGCCACCACATGCTTTCTCTCTCCCGCCACCCCTGGGGAAATGTGCCTTGTGAGTTTGGTACAGGACCAGCCTTGTTCTCAAAGAGAGAGCAGGCACTCCTGACTCTCAAAGAGGCCTAACAGCACCAGATCCCCATCAACTCTGGTCTCTGATTCCCACCTCCTGCCACTGATCACATCCATTCATTTTTGCCTCCAAGGTGCCAGGCAAGCCCCTACCTCCAGGTCTTTGTTACCATCTCTGGATCACTCTTCTCCCAGATAGAACCTTCCTGGGAGCACTTCTGGCAACAAACAGATGAGGGACTAGGACAGAGGTTCCCATACTTACAGAGACTTTTCAGGAAAAGTAAACTTAGCATATTGCTGGAAAGGGACCTTCTAGAAAGTGAGCAGATAGCACCCATCCATTGCACCCACGGTGACAGATTACCACCCCACATGGTTCTCTAGCAGCCCACCCTTCTGAAGGGGGGATAGTATTACCCATTTGGGAAAATATCAGTCTAGATACTCATGAGGTGTTTAGGTTTGGGTGTAAGTTATCCTGGAGCAGGATGATTGGGGGTGGATCTCCTGGTGTCACAGAGACTAAATTCAGACCTTCCTGGGGTCACACACTAGGTTGGAGAGATACTGGGGGTACTTTTCTGCCAAATTGGGGGTGGGAGTCAGGGCAGGAATGATACTACCCAAGGGTCACAGCATTGTACAGTTCTTTTTACCTCTATGTGGACACTTGTGGCTGGGCTGATAGTACAGTGGGTAAGGCTCTTGACTCACTATGCAGCTGACCTGGTTCAATCCTCAGCACCCCATAGAGTCCCCCAAGCTAGGAATGATCCCTGAGCCCAAAGCCAGGAATCAGCCCTGAGCACCGCCAGGTGTGGCCCCAAACAAAACCAAACAACAAAACTGAGGGTGGACACTTGGGTGTCACATAAATTGGCATGTGGACAACATTGGGGGCACCACAATGATATTCTGGTACCTGTAGGTTTCACAACCCCCTCAGAGGTATCAACTCTGGGGCCCGGAAACTCCTGTGATCCCACAGTCCAGAGCAACAACAAGGCTGAGGACACACAAAGTGGGGAGCAGATGTAATGGTGGTCAAAGAACAGCAACAGGGCTATCCATGCATCATCTTTGATATGGGTCCCTGTGAACTGGTCTGGAGTCAGGCAAAATAGAGCAGGGAGGATGTGGGAAAGGGGACAGCTGGGGGTTCCCACAGTGGCATGAAGACATACCTGGGCTGGCACACTTAGGAGATATGGATACTCCTAAACTCTCTTGACTTCCAGCACACATTTCTAGGATCACGGAGATCAGGGTGTAGATATTCCTGTGCTCAGACTGACTGCAAAGATACTCACGATGGGGTGTTTCCCCCACCCAGGGTTACAAAGACTCAGTGTGGAACCCACTAGCTCTCTGTCAGGTATAGAAGAACCTTGGGTTTCAGAATGGGGTGTGGGTAATCCTATTCCTGAACTGGAGTGTGGACAGAGGAAGGTGAGCTTCTAAAAATACAACAGTAAACCTCATGGTGTTTCACTAATAAAAATTTAAAAAAAAATACAATAGTAAGCTGCAAAAACCGGTTCTGCCCTTGGAGCTGGTGAGTTTGTCAACTCCTATTTACTAAACTGCAGAAGCACTGGACAGCACTCAGGCACGTGTTACATTTGTGTAAGAAAGGCCTAGTTTTTAGCCTATGGAGCTCTATGGCAGACCTGGTGTTGCTCAGGAGCTCTTCTGCTCCCCACTCAGATCTCACCTGGCAGTGTACATGTGGTGACGACATGTTGACAGGGATCCAACTCAGGCCTCCCACTTCCAATCATATGCTCTAGCCCTTTTGAGTTATCTAAGAGATTGCTTCTCAGATTTTGGCTAAGATCAAGTGAGTTGATGAGTGAGGAAAAAATGAGGAGGAGAAAGGGAAAAATATGTCTTGGGGAACCCTTTGCTATCCAGTTAAATCTGTGATCCAGATTGAAAATATTTCAGAGTTAGAGCAACAATACAGTGGGTAGGGCACTTGCATGTGGCTGATCTGGGTTTGATTGCAGGCATTCTTATATGGTCCCTGGAACACTGCCAGGAGTGATCATCCCTGAGCACAGAGCTAAGAGTGAGCCCTGAGTACCGCCAGGTGTAGGCCAAAAAACAAAGAATAAAAAATTATCAGGGAAGGGACACTGGTGCTGGAAAATGTACACTGGTGGAGGGATGGGAGTTGGAACACTGTACGACTGAAACCTAACCATGAACAGCTTTATAAGGGTCTATCTCACAGTGATTCAATAAAAAATCATAAAAAATTCAAGGAGTATTTTCAAAAGTATGAGCATGGGACTGGAGAGATAGTACAGTGGATAAGGTTCTTATCTTGCACGCAGCTGACCAGTTTGATTCCCAGCATCCCCTATGGTCCCCCAAGCAATGCCAGGAGTGATCCCTGAGCACAGAGCCAAGAATAATGCCTGAGCATCCTGTTGTCATCATAGAGGGTAATTACACAAACCCAAAGAGCAGAGATCACACATAGGGAGTGGCCAATTTTTTTTTTAAAAAAGTATGAGTATGAGTGCATACAAACACACACACATACACACACACAAGCAAATAGTGTAGGGTTCCTACAGAAACCAATTCAATGGTATGGAAGTTCCTCCAAAGGGTAAACAAAAGTACCATATGATCCAGCAATCCTAACTCTGGATGTATAGCTGAAGGGAGGCAACCTCTCCCCTGAGAGATCTCTGTGCTCCCATGTTCACTGCTGCATTATTCACAATAGCCAAGGTATACAGATAACCTAAATCTCTATCTACTAGTTAACGGATAAAGAAAATAGGGTCAACAGTTATGCGTCACCTCATGTGAGCAATACAGTCGGAGAAATGCTTCATTAGGCCATTCTGTTGTCATGCAAACATCATAGAGGGTAATTACACAAACCCAGATAGCAGAGATCACACATTCTTAGGCTACATATAGGGACTGTGATCATATGTGTGGTCTGCTACTGACTGAAGTGCTATGCAGCAATGCAGGAGGGCATATATACAATGGGGCATTATTCGACCATCAAAAAGATACCCCTAAAAACAAAGGCCAGAGAGATAGTGCAGGGGTACAGCACATGCCTTGTACATAGCCAACCTGGGTTCAACCCCTGGCACCATATAGGGCACCCTGTGCACTGCCAGGAGTGAGCCCCTGAGCACAGGGCCAGTACTAAGCCCTGAGCACTGCTGGGTGTGGCCACCCCCCAAAACCCAACAAAACAATGGGGGGGGCTGCAGTTCAGTGACTTGTATGTGTGAAGCCCTGGAAACAATCCTTGAACCACTAAACTGTTTGTAAAAAAATAAATAAAAATGAAAGAAGAAAATCCTATCTTTGGTGACATGGAGAGCCCTTGAGGGCATTATGAAAAACAAAAGTCTGAGGAAAAAAATACTATGCGATCTCACTTATATGTAGAATCTAGAAAATCTAACTTCTAGAATCAGAGACTAGATTGGTGGTTGTCGGAGGTGTAGGCGTAAGTTATAAATAAGTTTTTTGAGGGAGTGTAATGAAAGTTATCAATACTGTGCAATGTATTCAAAAGTTGTTAAGAGAACAGATCTGAAAAGTTCCTATCATAAAAAAAATGTTTTTCTTTTCTGGTGGGTTGGGGAGGGTTGGGTCACATATGGCAGTGCTCAGGGATTCCTCTTGGCTGTATTCAGAGGACCCTATGTGGTGGTGTTGGGAATTAAACCAGGGTTGGCCATGTGCAAAGCAAGGACCTTACCCCCTGTCCTATCTCTCCGGCCCCTAGAAATAAAGTTCTGTGACTCCATTTTGGGATGACTATTGATCAAACTTATTATGCTAATCATTTTTCAGGATAATCATAGATCAAATCATGATTTTTGTCAACTTGAAAGTTACATTCTCTATGTCAGCTATGTTCTCTGTCAGCTGTAGCTTAGATTAGAAAAATATTGCCACATATATTAAAATGGAATTAACACTGGGATGTAGCCATATATGGACTTTTGAATTAGATGATCAAATGCTAAGACCTATGATTCAAAACTGAGATTAAAGTGAATAATATCTCAAGCTGTCAGTAACAATTTTGATTTGGATTTGTGTGGGGCTGATGGGGGCGAATCACCAGCCACCACCTTTACTATTGTGATTGATTGCCATGATTCCTATCTGGGAGAAAAAGTGAAACTTCAGTTATGTCAGTGAAAATAAAGATGTCTTATTTTCCTCCATCAAGTGCATTAGGATAGCCCTAATTTATGCAGCTAAAGATGCCAGGTTTTTTGGTGAAAACTCTGGACATACTCAGGGCAGCCCCGGAAAGGTTTAGAGAAGTGGCAAGACCTCACATGACCACTCCCATTGCAGCACTGACGGGCATTTGGTGAAGTTCTGTTCCTGGATGTTTTTCATGACGAATGTTGTCCGGTCCCACCGGAGCTTGAATATGCAGGACAGGTGGATGAGGTGATACTTGCAAACAAGTTCATAAGCACAAAGTTTTGGCTTTCCTGAGACCAAACAGCTTCCAAGTTGAATCAGCTTGTCGTTTACCTGAAGGTCAAAGGAAACAAAAAGACTCAAAAGGAAGTTTCCAACAAAAAAAAAACATTTCCCCTTTTCTACAATAATAAGTAATCACGCCACTTGGCAAAGCTTTTCTCGTTTGACTGTGAACTGTAGCACTGCAGTCCTGTCCTCCCGTTGTTCATCGATTTGTTCGAGTGGGCACCAGTAACGTCTCACAACAAATTGTGAGACTTGTTGTTATTGTTTTTGGCATATCGAATACGTCATGGTTAGCTTGCCAGGCTTTGCTGTGCAGGCGAGAGACTCTCAGTAGCTTGCCGGGCTCTGAGAGGGGCGGAGGAATCGAACCTGGGTTGGCTGCGTGCAAGGCACATGCCCTACCCGCTGTGCTATCGCTCCATACAGAAAATATTATATATATATATATATATATGTTTGGTGAAATGAGGTATAATTATAGGGTGCTTATTCTCCTTGCAGTGTAGCTCTTCACTGTAACCAAGACTTACTTATTTGGGGGCCAGACTTGGCTGTGATCAGAGATTAGTCCTGACTTTCTGTTCAGGGAAGACTTTTGTCAAGGTTTGAGTCACCAGATGGGATGCTGGAGATCAAAGATAGGTTGGCTGTGTGTAAGACAAACACCCTACCTGATGTGCCATTTCTCTGGATGAACCATGATTTATTTTTGAACTTTTGGCCACACATAGTGGTACTCAGGGCTTACTCCTGGGTTTGTGCACAGGGATCACTTCTAATGGGTTCTAGGGACTATATGGGATGCCTGGGACTGAAGTTAGGTCACCTTCATGAAAGGCAAGAGTCATAACCACTGTACTATGTCTCTGTTCCATATAGGTAACATTTAAAAGGACCCAACTAGAGGTTAGAGACACAGCACAGGCTTTAAGACACTTGCCTTTAACACGGCCGACCTAAAGTCAATCCCCGGTACTACATATGGTCCCCCAAGCACCGCCAGGAGTGACCTCTGAACAGTAAGGAGTAAGCCCTGAGACCCAATGGGTATGGTCCAACTATCCCCTCCAATGTACAAAATTAAAGTGGTGGCCGGATCCAGCCCCACAGTGGCTTATCAGTTTATACTGTCATGGGAAAAAATCATTCCAGATGCATAGTACAGTCCATCTTTGACTTTTAGTTTGTATTTCCCTGCTGAGCAGCTTTTCATGTGCTTGTGGTCATCTTCATATTTTCTTTTTCTTAATCACTTATGGTAGCATCTGAATCCCAACAATATCATATATAGGGCTTGTAAATATCCTTTTTTTTGCAACAAGAGAGGTTGAGGCCATATCAGGAGCATTCGGGTTATTTACTCCCAGCTGACTCTGCTCAGGGATCACTCCTGGCCATGCTCTGGGGACCGTATGTGGTGCGGGGATGGAACTCGGGGTGGTTATGTATAAGGAAAGCACAGTAACTCCTCTCTATGTCCCTGTACCTTTTCCCACAGTGAGTCATTTAATTTTTTTAGGAGCCACTCCCACTGATGTTCCATATGGGGCACCAATACATGCTAGTGGTATAGTAGGGTATACGGTGCCAGGGATCATACTTAGGAACTTATATGTGCGAGGTATGTGCTACATGTACCATTTGAGCTCCATCCCTGGCCCCTTTGACATTTTAGAGGAAGCCACACCTGTCAGTGCTCAGCACTTACTCCTGGTTCTGTGCTTAGGGATCAATCTTGGCAGGTTTGGGAGACCTTATAGGGTGTAGTGCCCACTCCCTGTGACTCTCATTTTTTACTTCCAGGGATCAAACCCTGTGCTTTACATATGTCACATGTATCTATTGCATTTTTTGGGATGGGGGAACATCTGGTAGTGCTCAGGGATTATTCTTGGCTCTGCATTCCTGCAGGCTCAGGGGACCACCTGGGATGCCAGGGATGAAACACGGGTTGGCCTCAGGCAAGGAAAGAGCCTGTACTATCACTCTGTCCCATCTATTCCATTTTTTAAATCATTTTGTGTTTTGGGGGACCACACTTGGCTGTACTCAGGTCTTACTTCTGGGCATTGCACTCAAGACATCACTCTTGGGGCTGGAGCGATAGCTCAGTGGGTAGGGTGTTTGCCTTGCATGCGGCCGGTCCGGTTTCGATTCCCAGCATCCCATATAATCCCCTGAGCACTGCCAGGAGTAACTCCTGAGTGAAGAGCAGAGCCAGGAGTAGCATTGCTGGGTGTGACCCAAAAAGAAAAAAAAGAGAGATATCACTCTTGGCAGGGCTCACGGGACCATATGGGATGCTGGGGATTGAACCTGAGCCACATGCAAGGAAAGTGCCCTACCCATCTGTAGTATAGCTCCAGCCTCTACTGTTTATTTGTTTTTGGGAGGCAATACTTGGCGGTGCTCAGGGCTCACTCCTTACAGTTCTGGAGGACCATATGGAGTGCTGTGGATCGAACCAGTGCTAGGGTTCTCACCTTGAGAACCCTACCTACTGAACTCTTGCTCAAGACCTATTGCTTTTTTGTACCTTACTGCTGAGTTATATTCCTACTCCTTTATTTATGTTCTTGTTTTGGGGGGGAACAGGGGTTGGACCACACCCAGCTATGCTTTGGGCTTACTCTCAGCTCAGGGATCACTCCTGGTGGGATTGGGGAACCATATGGGGTGACTGGGATTGAACCCTCGGCAGCTGCATTTAAGCAAGTACTCTGCCTGTGGTACTTGTACTCCAGCCCCTACTTATGTATAAATTCTTTCTTAAGCCCTCTAATGGTACTGAGGGCTTTATCCTGGCTCTGTGCTCAGGGAATACTCGTGATGGTGCTCAGGGGACCAAATGGGATGTCAGAGAATCAACCTGGGTGAGATGAATACAAGGCAAGCACCTTAGCCTCCGTACTATCTGTCCAGGCTCTCTCTTAATTATTTTTTGACAGAAGACTTGATGTGACAAACATGCTAAACTAGGGGCGGGGGTGCGATGACAAGAGGAATATGGAGGATAGTGGTGGGAAATGTACACCGGTGGGGGATTGGGTGTTGGAACCTTGTATGACTGAAACCTGATCATGAAAGCTTTGTAACTATATCTCACAGTGATTCAATTAAAAAAAATGTTAAACTATACAAAAAACCCTCAAAAATGTGCTAACCTGGTGTCAGAAAGGGATGTGCTTTAAAGTGACAACCAGGGAAAGAAGATGCTCTGCTGATAGAGTCCCTCTCTGCCTCAGGCACACTGGCCCTTGCTATTCTCAGAGAACACGTGCCTCTTCAGTGCCATTGCACTTGGCACTGCCCCTCCCTGCCCTGTACTCCTCTAAAGCAGGGTTTCTTAAATGTTTGTCACTTGAGACCACTTTCCTTTTTTTCTTTTTCTTTGTTTTTGGGTCAATAGCTCAGCAGGTAGGGCATTCGCCTTGCACACAGTCAGCTGGTTCAATTCCGCCCCCCCCACCAACCCCCTTGCTCACTGCCCCACTCACTTGGAGAGCCCAGCAAGCTACCGAGAATGCCTCCACAGCAGAGCCTTACAAGCTCCCCGTGGAGTATTCGATATGCCAAAAACAGTAACAAGTCTCACAATGGAGACGTTACTGGTGCCCACTGGAGCAAATCGATGAACAATGGGAGGACAATGGTACAGTGCTAGTGTTTTTGGGTCACACCCAGCTGTGCTCAGGCTCTGCATTCAGGGATCACACATGGAAGGGCTTGGGGGAACATATGTGGTGCCAGGGATCAAACCCAGGTCAGCCACATGCAATACACATGCCCTCCCCATTGTTCTATCTCTCCGGCCCTTGAGGCCCCTTTTCACCCAAGAAATTATTATGTGATCCAGGTATATTGGCATATAAGACAGGTATATGGAGCTAGAGTGATAGTACAATGGGCATGGTACTTGCTTTGCACATGGCCAACTCAGTTTTAATCCCCTTCACTACGTCCAGTCCGCTGAGCCCTACTCAAAGTAATCACTGAATGCAGAGACCCCAAATAAAAATAAATACATAAGTAAATAAATAGGTATATGAATCACACATTTATGGAAAAAAGTAATAAAGAAATGGATTGATTTGTTATTTTAGGGGGCTTCCAAATGGTGATCAGAAGCCCAGGGGCCCCTGCTGATGATTGTCAGTCAATTGGACCATTTGGTCATATGCAAAGGCTCAAGGATAGGGGGTTCCTTGAGCCCTGCATTTCCAGGGACTACCTGAGTCACCCCAGTGGCGCCTGGCAGTGCTCTGGGGCCTCTAGGGCTAGACCTGGCAATGCTCAGAGGATCATGTGGTGCCACATATCAGATTGGGGTTGGCCGCATGTCAGGCACCCCTGTACTATATCCCCGTACCAAGAAATTGTATTGTATTTATGTAGTTAGCTAGTTACTTAGTTTGGGAGTCATACTTAGTGGTGCTCAGAAGCTATTCCTGACTCTGTTCTCAAACACTCCAGCAGTGTTTGGAGAACCAGTGTAGTACTGGGGATGGAACTGGGCATCCTCTCACCAGCCCTAAACTGTGAGTTTTACAAATTTTTGTTCTAGGGCCAGGACAATAATAGAGTGGGTAAGGCACTTGCCTTGCATGTGGCAGACCCGGATTTGGTCCTTGGCTACATTATCCTAAAACTGCATTATGATGAGTCAATAGTCTCTGTCATTATTTTACACACACACAAAATGCAACAGTGTAAATCATGAGGGGATAATTATCTTTAAAAAAAGAATATTCTGTTTCCATGAAAAAAGAGTAAGCCCTGAGAACTGCCAGGTGTGGGCCAAAAACAAATGAAATATAGTGCAGCTCCTTTAGTACAGCAGGTAGGTCACTTGCCTTGCTCACAGCTGACCTGGGTTCAATCCCTAGTACCATATATGATTCCCTGGAGCCCGCAGATGTGATCCCTGAGCACAGAACCAGGAGTAAACACTGAGCACAGTTGGGTGAGGCCCCCAAAAAAACAAAACGTGTTCTAAAATAAATTTTTTTAGAAAAAGAAAAGATATAAATATAAAAATAAACTTCCTTTTTAAAAAAAAAAGAAAAGGCCGCTATAGCGGCTGAGCGACATCATTTGATTCTTGTAACCAGCTGTAGAAAACAAATTATTTCACAATGCCTTTTCAGCATGGTTTGGGGGTGTAAACTCTAAATAATAATGGTGCATCTTTTGTCGAAACAATGAATCTAATCAAAGTAGACAGAGTGTTAACTAGAATTCACCTGCCTCACAGGCATTGGGAGGGTTGGGAGAGGGGGTTTATTGGGGTTCTTGGTGTTGAAAAATAAGTATTGGTGAAGGGAAATGTGTTTGATGATGCATGACCAAGACTTAAACCTGAAAGCTTTGTAACTTTTCCCACAGTGATTCAATAAATAAAAAAAAATTTAAAAAAAGAAGAAAAAAAAGGAAAAAAAAGAAAAGGAGTGCCTTCTAACCCTCACTCCCTCCCTTATTCGGTGATCATGAGGCACCAGGAATAAACCTGGGGCTTCCACATGTGAAGTGTGCATTCCAGCCCCTTGAGATACTTCCCCAGCCCCATTGAGCTTTTTCTTAAAGATGTCCCTTATTCAAAATCTCTTAGAAAAAAAGGAGTTTTTTACCTTAATTTGTTAAAGGTGAGCAATTCATTTCACTGTCTTCCACCTAAGCAAGAAAAAGAAAAGGACTCAGATCAAGGCTAAGTTTTTCATATACAAACATCATGCATTTATTCTACCACTGCCTTTAATTCCCATTCCATTAGAAGTAATTTTTACTGAGTGATTTGCAGTGATAGAGACAAGGCAAAGAAGTCTGGCCCCAGAAATTATGTGAGCTGGGCAGAGAAAGAGGTCCAGCAGGATGAGCTTGCTGCAGCTCAGGGGAAGGGCCTGCATCACATTTCCAAACCTCAGAAGCCAGCATGGTATGGCACGGGGGAGCAGTCAAGGGCTGGTTCTCCTTGGCCAGCCGTCCCTTCTTCTTCAGCGTGCAGGCCTCCTGGTACGGTGGTGAGATGGGCGGCTGCGTGGGCGGAGTATACTTGTACTCTGAGCCATCCTCTAGCTACACGGGCACATAGGGAGTGGAGGGAGTTGGTGAGGACCGGGAAACTGTGCACAAACCCTCCCCCACCTGTAGTGTGTGACCAGGTACTCACGTCCAAGGGGTAACTGCGGTCCGAATCATATGCACTCAGGTCCCCACAGGTCACAAAGGGCACAATGATGCGGGTGGGACCACTTAATTGGTTGAAATCTGGATCTGATACAGAGGGAGCAATTAAGATAGGGTGGGGCCCAGTGACAGGGCTTGAGCAACCAAGACTCGGGCTGCAGCATGGAGTCTTCAGCCGGCCCTCCATCCCCTAGCTGCATTCCTTCATTGCAGAATTCCTTCATTTGGTTTGCACTGCCTTCTCTGGGAGGCCCTCCAGGACCACCCCTCCTAAACCTGAGCCCCTGAAATTTTTTTCAGGGGGATAGGGGCCACACTCAGTCATGCTCAGGAAATCAAGTTTCCTCCGGGGTTACTCCAGGCTCTGTGCTCAGGGTTTGTTCCCCCGTGATGCCAGCAGGGACGCAACAAGGGCCTCATGGATGAAAGTCTGTGTGCCTGCCCTTTGAGTTCTCTGTCTCCAGTGCCCCCAGCTTTTTTAGGCCTTCTATCATGATGATAGTCCCCTTCAATTACCCACTGCCTGAACCTTGTCTCACTCAAGTGTGCCCAGATGGAGAGCAGACTCTTTTTCTCAGAAGGGGGAGTTGGGCCACAAATGGCAATTTTCAGGGCTTCCTCCTGCTTCTGTACTCAGGAATCACTCATGAAAGGTCCAGAGGACCACATGGGGGTGTCAGAAATTGAACCCGGGTCAGCCCCATGCAAGGCAAACACCTTTCCCACTGTCTTATCTCTGTGGCTGAGAAAAGCCTCTGGACATTTCCCATCAGGGGTCACGCAGGGGTGCGGGTTCTCCTGGGGAGTGGGGTGACTGAGTCTGTCCAGGCTAGACTCTCCTTAAGCAGTGTGTGTGGGGGGAACCCAGGATTTTCCTAGGAGATGATTCCTACCGGGTTTGGAGGTTACAACCAGGGAACTGGGCTATAGTTCAAAGACCAGGTATTCCAGACAGAGCTGGTATTACTGCCAAAAGGGTATGTGTGTAGGGGGAGCTGAGGGTCCTCTGGGGACAGAATTCCTATAAAAGGCAGAGTTTTAGGGCGAAATTGATAAAACAGTGGGTAAGGTATTTGCCTGGCATGTGGCTGACCTGAGTTCAATCCTCATTACTCTATATGGTCCCACGAGTCCCACCAGGAGGGATCCCTGAACACAGAGACAGGAGTAAGCCCTGAGCACTATCAGGTATGGCTCCAAAACTGGAAAAATGGCAGAATCCTCTGAGAACTGGTTGAGAGAAATAGGCTTACCAAGGTGGGGGTACAAGAGGTGATTACAGGGATACGAATTGCTGAGACAATGGTGGAGGAAAGCAGGCTCTCTGGTGGAGGTGTGGTGTGGGAGTGCTGGACATAGGACATCCTATCATGAACAGTATTGTTAATTCACAGTGCCTCAGGCACTGGAGCCACTGGGTAGGTGGGTAGGGCATTTGCCTCACACATGGATGAACTGGGTTCCAGACAATGCATAGAGTCCCACAAGGCCCACCAGGAGTGGTCCCTGAGCCCAGAACGAGGAGTAAGCCCTGAGTCCTTCCGAGTATAGCCTCCAAACCAAATAAAACCACAGTGCTACAAATGAAATAAAAGGAAGGGAAACTACAAATGGAACTGCAGGCTTCTCCTCTCCCTCTGGTCCCTCGTCTACTCCAAAGAAGTCTGATCTCAGGCAGAGTGTTCCCAGGGACCAAGCCCAATGCTTTGGTTCTCACCATAGGAATGGTCCAGTAGGGGTTGGGTCAGGTCCGGCAAGTAGCCCGCAGGGGGGTCATAACACTTACAGACTGCAAAGGCCTCTGGGGATGGAAGATGGAGAGAGGAATGACTGTCACTTCTGTTCTGTTCTTTGCAGGAAACCTCTCCAACATGTGCCTACAATCATCTGACTGTTCCAGCCCACTAACCAATGCTGGAGTTCCGGCTGCTCCTGGGCTTTGCACAGACCACAGTGGAGAAGAAGACCCGCAGTTGGCTATAGAGTAGCGTCACATCCCGGCCTCGGAAGATCTATAGGGAGGGGTGGCAAAGATAAAGGCATAAGGGCAGCCCTAGAGACCACTCTCAAGCCCTCCATCAGGTTCTCCAAGGCTTACCTTGGCTACAAAGCAACCCCCTGGTTTCAAGACATGGGTAGCAATGTTGAGAGCCTGTGGGCAGAACAGATGGCTAAGAGACAGACAGAGATAGCCAGGAACAGGGCCAACGTGAGGCGGGGGTGGGGGGGGGTACCAGGGTTACTCACGGCGAGGAGGAGCTGGGCCTGCATGTACTCATCAACATCATGGAGGCCAGTTACTGCAGCAAAAGAACAGTGTCAAGGGAGTTAGCCAGTTCGAGTTGTCTTCTCGTCCCCAAAGATAAAAGCATAGGGGCAGCCCTAGAGACTCCTCTCAAGCCCAAAGAGTTTACTACACTAAAAAACACTTCCCGGGGTGGGAGAGATAGAACAGTGGTGAAGGTGCTTGCCTTGCATGCAGCTGACCCCAGTTTGATCCCTGGCACTCCATCAGGTCCACCAGGAATGACCACTGAACACTGAGCAAGAAGGTAGCCTTGAGCACCACTGGGTGTGGCCCTTCCCCCCAAATAGAATAAAAATAAAAAACATTTCCCAGCTCGCTAAGGCTCTGTATGCAATTTACAATTTGCCATGTGAGTGTAGCTTCTAAACATTTTGTTTGGTTGGTTCCAGGCCACACCTGGAAGTGCTCAGGGTTTCATCCTGGCTCTGCACCCAGGGATCACTCCTCGTGGTCTCAGGGGACCCTATGCCGTGCCAGGAATCAAACTAGGGATGGCTGTGTGGAGGGCAAGCACATTTAATTTGGACTTTATATCTCTAGCTTCTGAACTCTTTACCTTTAGGCACTCATTGTTATTTTCCAAACTGCTAGATAGGCACCCCCAGTCCCAAATGTGTATCTGAACCCCAGATACAGGGGCTGAGTGATAGTGGGTAGGTCATTAGCTTTGCACATGGCTGACCTGGGTTCAATCCCTGCATCCCCTATGGTTCCCTAAGTACCACTAGGAATAGTTCCTGAATGCAGAGCAAGGAGTAAGCCCTGGACATTGCCAGGTGTGGATCAAAAACAAAACAAACAAAACCAAAATAACATCTCAGCCTCTACCTTCCTGCTCCAACCTGTTCTTCTCCCAATCTTCTCTAATTTGTTCATTTGCTCATGCCAAAAACTTCTGTTATCTTTGACGGCTCCTATGTGATGATCTCTATTCCTACCCACACCCAAGCCATTAGCCAATTCTCAGGGCTCTCTTTTCAAAAAACTCTGCTTCTGACCCTACTGCTCCTCATTGTCATCACTCACCAGGACACCTTCACCAGTCTCTTCTCCAGTCCCCTGCTCCTCCCAGTGCCCCTGACACTGCTCAGAGCAGTCACAGGGAGCCTGCTCCTACCCATGCCTCGCCTAGACCTCACCTGATCAGAACCCTTTCATGATTTTCTCACAGCTCTCACCTCAGGAAAGAGGCGCAAGTCCTCTTTGGATCACATAAGGATCTACATTAAGGATCCAAGGCCCGCCAGCTTACTGACCACACTGCCTAGCCCTCTCCCTCTACTCATTCTGCCTTGACCTCATGAAACTCCTCCCTGGTCGTCACATGAGCCTTTCCATATGCCACCCCATTTTCCCAGACTGTTCTGTCAGACATGTCCCTCATCCATTCACAAACTTTCTTTAGGTCTTTTCCTCTAAAGTCGGCCCAGGGCACTTTATTACTTTCTCATTTCTTTTTTGTTTGGGGGCTCCAACCAGTGGCTCTCGGGGATTCCTCCGGGCTCTGTGCTCAGGGTTAACTCCTGGAGATGCTCAGGTGAATACAGGGGTGCCAGGGATCGAAGTAGATTTGGTCACATACAAGGCAAGCACCTAACTCCTATAGTATCTCTTTGGTCCTTTGTGCCCTTGAAGTTTCAACAGTTACTCCCCCTTTCCCATGATGTCTCCATGGTGCTGATAACCTTTCTACCAACTACCAACTTCTGTTCCATCTGCTCCCACTAGGACATTAGTTTTATGAGGCCAGAGATGAGCAGAATTTCATCAACTGGCATTTCCCCCACATGCAGAACAGTGCCTACACATGAATTACTTGTTGAAAAAAAATGGAGGGACCGAAGTGATCAAAATGAACATGAAGATGGAATCAGAAGAGGAAAAAAATGATGGAGTCAGGCAACTCCAGAGAGAAGGAGAGATGAGAAGAGGGAAGGGTGGACTTATTTTAGGGGAGACCACAGCTGGCTGTGCTCAGGGACTATATGGGATGACAAGGATTGAACCTGGGTTAGCTGGGTGCAAGGTAAATGCCTTCCCTGCTCTACTATTCCTCCAGCACTGTAGAAGAGGGAAGGGTGGGCAGCATGCAACACAAAGTGGTGGGAGAAGGGAAAGACAGAGGCTGGAAACAGGCAATACACCTGGGGAGAAGTTGCCAGATTGTGGGTAGGGAAAAAAATGACAGTGAAGTGGGAAGGCAAGGAGTAGCTGAAGCAGTGTAAGAAGTCAATGGAAGAAGAAAAATATGAGGGGGAGCTTGCACACGCATGCGTACACACATGCATGCACACCTGCAAACATACACACACAGATGCACCACACCCCTCTTGGACTTCCAGTCCCCGCTCTTTACCATCTGGAGCCCCATCGCACACCACCAGGTCCGCAGGGCAGCCCTCAAAGTGCTGGATGATCTCCTTGGCAGTGGACATCTGTGCCAGAGAAGGAGGATGAGCTAGGGCTGTCTAGCCCTCTAATCCCACTTGCTCATGGGCCTGATCCCCACAGCCAAATTTTGGTTTGGGGGCCATACTTGGCTCTGCATTCAGGAATTACTCCTGGAGTTGCTTGAAGGACCATAAAGGATGCTGAAGATGGAACCTTTCATGGCTGCATGCAAGACAAGAGCCCTGCTTGCTATACTATCTCTCTAGACCAATTTCTTTTCACTACTGGTACACTCTCAAGGGATTTCTCACATATTGTCTCTAGGTCTATGTGTCTTTGGTTGATTTTCGGTTATGTTTTCTGATTTTGTGGCCACACCTGGCTGTACTCAGGGCTTACTCCTAGCTCTGCACTCCGGGGTGACTCCTGGTGGGGCTCTGGGGACCATACTGGGGACCGAAACCAGGTTGGCCACATGCAAGGCAAGTGCCTTGCCCACTATACTATCTCTCTGATCCATTTGGTTGATTTGGGGGCCATACCTGGCTGTGTTCAGGGCTTCTTCCTGGCTCTGTGCTCAGAGATCACTCCTGGCAGGGTTCAGTAGACCCAGTTCAGTGCCAGATATCAAATCTTCGGGGGCTGATGGGCGGGGGGGGGGGGGCAGTAGGGGGGAAGCTGCCTGCAAGGCAAGTGCTTTAACCCCTTGCTCTCCAGGCCCTGTCTCTGTGTGTCTTTATTAGTCTCTTCCTCTTTCTCTTGCCTATGCTTTTCACAACTACCAGTGGGGGCTGGGGGGCTCATGCAGGATACAACCCAAAACCCCAGTTGTGTGCTCACCTGCGTTATGTCCCCTTGGATCTGTAACACACCTGGTACTGGCGCCATTGCCTGAAGATCCACAGCCACCACATGGCCAGAACCCTGGCCCCTATTCACAGCAAAAGCCTGTGTCAACACTGTTCTTACTCCAGGCCTACCGTCCACTGTGCCCACCCTCCTCAGCCCTATCACCTCTCCCAATTTGGGGCTCCATACTCACCCGATCTTCTGGCTCAGCACCTGGCTCCAGCTGCCTGGGGCTGCACACAAGTCAACTGCCCGAGTGACGCCTGAGCACACACAGAAATAGTCAGTTGCACTCACCTCTCTATCCTGGCGATACAGCAAAGTGTACCACTGTCTCCTAGGGAGCACCCACCCTCGATCAGCTGCATCAATGCCTAGCTCCTCTGAGGATTTGCTCATCTTCCTGTCCAGTCCCTAAGCCCCAGCCCTCACCCACTTTGCTGACCCCAGCCCCCAGGACTCGCCCGCCAGGCAGGGACCTTGGAAGAGCTGGAATTCCTCATCAAGCTGCAGCAGCTTGAAGGCACTGCGTGCGCGCCAGCCGTTCTCCTTGGCCAGGCGGTAGTACACATCCCTCTTGTCCTTGGATGTCCGGCCCATCTCACACGCTCAGGGACCTGTCAATAGGAAGCTGATACCCCCGACCCAATCAGTAAAAAGGTGAGTGGGCCACCACCTACCTCTGTGGGACAGTGTTTGTGTAGACACCCAAGCCGGCTCATGGAAACTCCAGCACTGCCCAGACAGCAGCATCCATGAACAAAGTCCAGTTTCTGTATTCACTGATATCACAAAGTAGAAGGTCCTCACCAGTGACACTGATGTCTCAGGTTCCATCACTCACCCAGAACCCCTGACCCTGCCGAATCATGCCAAGTTCACCCACCACCCCTCCCCTACATAGACTCTCCATGACCCCAATCCACAGACGCTCTCACAGATCTGCCGAAGATCCCACAACCCTTCCATTTTCTTTTTTTCTTGTTTTATTTGGGGGGAGGTCCATTGGGTCATACGCAAGAGGGGGCTATTATACCAGAGGGCTATTCCTGGCACTGTGCTCAGCAGTGACCCCAGGTAGTGCTGGGAGGGGCATAAGTGGTGCTGCAGAATCAAATTGGGGTGCAAGATGAGCACTTTCCCTCCTGCACTTACCTTACAGATCAGGATTTTTTTCCTGCTTTGTTTTGGTATCACAGCCAGTAATGCTCAAAGGGTTGTTTCTGGCTCACTGCTCAGGGATTCCTCTAATGGTAGGGTGCTTGAGGACCCCTCAGTGCTAGGGGACCATGGGGTGCCAGGGATCAAATCAGGGGTTCCTATATGCAAAGCCCCTTGAGCTCTCTCTCCAGCATTCCCCTACTTGTTTATGTTTGGGGGTCATACCCTGATTGGTGATGAGGGTCTCTCCTACTCAGGCAATTATTTAGTATTGTGATGAAACTCAGAGTTTCCTAAAGCAAAGTAAGTGCTCCAGCTCTTCAAGCTACCTTTCCAGCCCTATCAGAGATTCTTAATCTTTATTTTTTTGCTTTTTGGGTCACACTCAGTGATGCACAGGGGTTACTCCTGGCTTTGCACTCAGGAATTACTCCTGGCAGTGCTCAGGGGACCATATGGGATGCTGGGAATTGAACCCAAGTCAGCCACGTGCAAGGCAAATGCCCTACCCGCTGTACTATCACTCCAGCCCCGATTCTTAATTTCTTCCTACTCATTACCACTTTTCACCAGAGAAAATCTGATGTGACATGGTGTGTGTATGTGTGCACGCATGTGCGTGTGCACGCACGCAGTATAGAAATCAAAAGATTACTGGGGTCAGAGAGACAGTACAGCATTGTTAACCTTGCACGTGGCCCACCCATGTTCGATCACTGCCACACCATATGGTCCCCTGAGCACTGCCAGGAGTAATTCCTGAATGCAGAGCCAGGAGTGACCCCTAAGCACTGTCAGGTTGTGGCCCCCAAAACAAAAAAAAACAATCAAAAAGAAATCATATGATTAATGATAATATATCCTAAAGAAATTTCTCATAAAGAAAAAATTCTGAAAGTTAAACCACCTCATAGGAGGTCAAAAGAAGCAACTTCTAGGACTGGAGAGACAGTACAACAGGCAGGGTGCTTGCCTTGTATGTGGCCGAGCTTCCCACAGGGTCTCCTGAGCAGTGCCAGGATTAATTCCTGAGTGCAGAACCAGGAGTAACCCTTGAGCATCACTGGATATAATAAAAGAGAGAGAGAAGCAACTTCTGAAAGCCCAAAGGACTGGATATATATTTGCATTTAGGAGGCCCAGGTTCCATCTCCAGCACTACATGGTCCCCTGAGTACTGAGCCAAGAATATCCCAAGCACAACCAGGAACCGGGTATGGGTCCCCAAACAAAATAAGTTCAGGGCTCAGGAACATGATTCAGTGATACTTGCCATGTGTATGTGAGGTTCCTGTGTATGTGAGGTTCAATTCTTGGCTCTGATGTGTCGTCAGAGCACAGCCTGGGAATGACCCTGACCCTGATGTATTCCCTGGGTGGGAATAGGCCCAATGCACACAAATGAATGTAGTCCCGAAACAAAACAACAAAAAAGGTTTTTTTAAATAGATGCCCCGTAATTGACCTCAATCACCTCCCAAAGAAGTCACAGCTCCACTACTTCACCCTGCACTCTCAATATGAACCCTTTTCTGCCCACTTATCTCCCTTTCACCCTCTGTCTCCTCAACTGGTATCACTGTACCTCACCCCACTCCTCTTTTAATCTCATTCCTATCTCATTCCTCTTTGGTCCTGAAATGCTCAGCTCCCTACTCTCTTTTTTTATGACTCTATTCTTATCAACTCCCATGAATGCATGGATGAACATGGCCTATTAGCGCTCCATTAAGCTCACAATCACTCTGCTGTATCAGCCTCCATTAACTCAGCCCTCCAGGTGCTCCCTTCCAGAGTACACCATTATACTCTCCCCTGGAACTTCTTGATTACTCTGTCAATCTCCACCAGTTCTGCCTTCTCTTCTCACTGCCCACCTAATCCCTGTAGTACCCATTCTATCAGCACACTCCGATAGCTTACTCTCACCCAGTTGTTGCTTATTCTGTTCCCACAGAGTCCGTGCTGGCCTTTGCCATGAGCACCCACTAAAATCGTCTGACATTACACCATTTCATTTTCTCATTCCCGCTGATCACGGCCCCATTAATTTCTTGCTTATGGTAAGCTTCACCTTCTATTTTTCTTAGCCTAACCAGTATGAGCTTCACCACTGAATCACCTATCTTCATGAACCCCGAGGGACTCACACCCGTTCCTCCAACGGCCCCCCAAGAACGTGGGCGCTAAAACACTTCTATTTAACAACGTCCACTGATTAGCTGATAATATCTTCACCAGACCGCCACGACCTTCATGCAAAACCACCCCCCCATCCTATTAATAGTCCTCTGGCCACATCCCCCCTCCCCCCCCCCCCCCCCCCCCCCCCGGCGTTAAGCCGAACTCGTGTCTCCACCGAGGCCACTAGATCCCGCTCAAGGCGACTCTACCCGACTGGGCCCCTGCTCCATCCCCTCTGTCTCCAGCGCACTCCTCATTGTGGTTCCCTTCAACAGACTAACCTTAGATCTGAGCGTACCAGGTGGAGCCGCCTGATCACGCGGCAGCAGCCCCCAAAGGCGCACTTTCCTCCTTCCCTCACCCGCGGGGCAGTGCCGGCGAGCCTCCGCACCCCAGGGCCTATCTTAGCTTTCACAGTGGGAAGAAGCAGAATTTGGAAGGTCACTCCGCCAGCAGCCCAAGGTCCTACAAGCGGGGGGCAACCGCTGGGTTGCAATTCGTATGCTTTAGTTGATCGCGCATGTCTCAGGGCGACCACAGCGTGGCAAGCTTGTCATCGCGGAACGTCCAGGCAGGTTTGGGTGAGGCTCGGACCCAACCCGAACGTACAGCGTGAGCCCGGTCAGCGTGTGTTGACGTAACTGCCTTGCGAACTACCAGTCCCAGCATGCAGTGCGACCGGCACGAAGCCGCAGTACGCGCGCGGTGGGGCGGTGTGATGTCTTTTGTTCTAAGTTTAGGTGGCTTGCTCGCCTCCCCTCCGGTTTCCGATGCCAGTGAACTACTGCTGTAACAGATTCCAAGATGCAAGGAATACGACGCTGCTCATTCGTTTGGCCGCTGCTGTGGCATGAGAGTATAGCTTGGGTCTTAGTAGAGCAAGGAAAGTGCATTCCTTAAGCGAGCGCGCCAAAGCTGCTCGGCAATTTCAAATCCCGCTTCCGCTCGTTGGTATCACTGCCTGAATTTTACCAAAGTCTCTGAACTCCATAAAATGTGGGTTACAAGTAGTACAGACGTCACAGTTCGTTTTTTTTCCATTTCATCTAGCCGTCTTTTATAATTATATATATATATATATATATAGTATTTGATCAGTGACATACTGTCACCTCACAAAATTGTTCATATACCAGCAGTGTAATCATGAAATAGTTTGGAAAAGCTTTAATAATGCAGGATTAGATAGTTTCTACTGTACAGTTAAAACAGCGGGTCAGTGATCTCAGGACCATATAGTGAAAACTATTAAAATAATTAGGAAGTGGTGTTTGTAGTCTTTTAAAATCTAATTTACTCCACCACTGGATCGTGAATCCTGCCAAACCGGTTCTACAGCAACCTCCCCCCCTCCCCCGGCCCCCCACTCCATTGGCTTCTGCGTGCAGGACTGGTTGTTGAGAGTGAGATAAACAAACACAAGGACTGCCCAAAAAGCTTTAGGGTCTCCTTAGCTCACAGGCTTATTTTATTTCCATAAAATATTGCTAGGCCACCCTGGCTTTCAACACACATGAGCCATAGTTTAATATGACAAATATGTTAAGGACAATTAGCGCATCAATACTTAATAGGTACACGAGGAGCTGGGGTATTTCACATACCCAATCAGCAGCACCTCTAAATTATAAAGTGACAATTTCCTATTCTATTTTTGCCTATGTTGCTCGGTACATCTAAAAGACCTAAACTGGGGCCTGAGTGATAGTACAGGGGGTAGGGAATTTGCATGCTGCGGATCCGGGGTCGATTCCCTGCATTCCATAAGATCCCCTGAGCACTGCCAGGAGTGATTCCTGAGGGCAGAGCAAGGAATAACCGCTGAGTATCACGGGGTGTGATTAAAAAAGATAAAAAAAGATCCTGAACTGTTTTATTCTATTCTTTTCCTGAGAACTTGTCAGCTTGTTATCTATTCTTTGGGGGTAGGGGGCGGGAGGCACACATTTGCAGCCCATTGTATTCTAAGAATACATTTGCAGCCCATTATATTCTAAGAACTAGTACCTGGGGACTAACCCAACCTTGTTTTTTTAAAGGGGACAATCTTTCACACCACAGTTTAAAATATATACAGTATAATGCAATTTTCTGAAAATATGTAGGATTTTTCAATGACAGGTGTAGTTTAGCAATCAATTTCCAACATATCTGAAATTGAAAAGCAACTTTACAAACATGTGTTGTTTAACCTTCACTCATTTTTATCCTTTTAACCAAATATGAAGTGGTTAACTGTATCTCCAGTTTACAGAGAAAGAAACAGAAAGAAAAGAAAATATAGATCATTATATTACATATATAAACATGCCATTTGATATGAATAAAACAATACAGAAATATAAAGTGATATATAACATTTGCTATTTTTACATAGTATCTTTATTATGCTGGGGTGACATTCAGCTGGAGGGAACCTGTCTTGTATGTATGAGGTCCTGGGTTCAATCTCTGTCACTGCAAACAAATTATACTAATAAGAATATACAATAAAAATAAACATAGCATTATATATACAAAAATAAGAGAATAAATACGCATTTAGTATAGTGTATATACATATTTATATATAAAACATACACATTCTCTTAAGCACGTAATAGATGCATGATCATGCCAATACATCTAATAAATATGCTAATATTTGCACACATCGCATTCTAAGATGTACTAAGTATAAATATAACAATGAATATATAAATATATAGCGTTGCGTTCAGTGGCAATAGAAACTACAACGAGTAATAAAGTTGGGTGAAAGAGATAGAGTAATCAAGATTGAGTTGTGGTTTGTTTCCTTTCATTCTTTTCCCTTTTTAAAATTTCCTTCAGTGCTGGGCATCACGCCTAGTTCTCATGGGCACAAGCCTAGTTCACATGAGCCTCACTTTTTAGTGCTGAGTTAAGTTGTGACTTTGGATAGTATGATCAGCTGGGGCTTCTCTAAGGAGTTGATATTTGAGCTGAGACATGAGGGGGAAGCACGGCCTAGGAATATTTGGAGGAAGAGCATTCCAGGCAGCAAGGCATACTCTACCATTGAGCCCCATTACCACCCCGAGTTGTGGCTTTCGTCTGTGTGATCACAGAGGGCTTCTCTGAGGAGGTGACACGTGAGCTGAGCCATGAAGGGGAAGTATGACCTAGAAACATTTGCAGGAAGAGCATTCCAAGTAGAGGGAACATGAAGTGCAAAGACCACCAAAGTTTGCTGGGGATCCAAAGAAAGGCCTCCATCATTCTTTTTTTTTTTACCTTTTTTATTTTTATTTTTTAAATTTTTTTATTAGTGAAACACCATGAAGTATACAATGATCAAGTACTCATCCCTCCACCAGTGCCCATCCTCCACCACCACGGGTCCCAGCATCCCCCCCCATTCTCCCCCCGCCCCTCCCCCCCGCCCCTCCCCCCCCCCCCCCCCCCCCCCCCCCGTCCCACCCTGCCTCTGTGGCAGGGCATTCCCCCTTGTTCTGTCTCTCTTCTTTTGGGTACTGTGTTTTGCAAGAGAGGCACTGAGTGGCAATCATGTTTGGTCTATAGATTACTTTTAGCATACTTCTCTCACCCTGGGAGCGTCCTCACAACACCCTTTATTTGGTGCTCTCTTCTCTATCTGAGCTTCCTTTTCACCTAGCACGTGTGGCTGAAAAGGCCTCCATCATTCTTTAGAAATGTGAACCGTGGGACCAAAATGATATTGCAGCAGGTAGGATAGAGGAGAAAGAGCTGTTGCTATGCATGCGGCCGCCCTGAGTTTGATGTGGCCCCCAAATGGAAAAACAAATAAGAAATGTGAGCTGCACCCAGCAGGGATTTTTGTTGTCTTGTTCACTGCTGCCTCCCTGCGCCTAGACAGGGCCCGACACGCAGTTAGCCTCTGATGACTTTCGAAGTTTGATGAGTTCTCCCTTTGGTTGCTTTGCTCCTTCATTCTTTCCTCTGCATCTCCCAGGAAGGAGAGCTAGGGCAGAAGGGAGAGCTGGGATGCAGAACTTGGGCCTCCTGAGAGTGGCTGGAACTACCTGGGGGTAGTCCCTTGGGGGTGATGAGTTAATGTGTGTGCAGAAGTCAGGGCTCCCTTGAGAAAAGGGGGTGCTGGGCATGGTTTGGGGAGTGTTCACCCCATGGGACACTGCCATAATGTCCTGTTTTCTTGCCGCTTACCCAGAGGATGTTTAAATTTTCCCAAAGAAAACTTGCTTTCTTCCTCAGGGCTCAGGGCTGGGGGGAGCAGTGCTTGGCGCCAGGCTCTGAACTCCTCAGGCTTTTCCCTGAGTAGGGTGCCAGCCTGCAGCTCCTACCTGGCACCCCACTGACTGTAAAGATGTGCTCCCTTCAGTCTCTTGAAGAGGCTAATGAGGGGAGAAATGCCAGGCCAGCTCTGGTCCAGGGCAGGGGGCCCAGAGGGAAGCGTGGGGGTGGTCCAGAGCACAGGGAACTGACCACCAGCTCTGAAAGCCTTGCGACTCAGGGGCTGCTTTGAGAGGGAGTTACCCAGTGGGAAGCCTGCCTGAAAGGAGATTAGAATCCTATAAATGCAGTCCCCATGGCGAGTTGCGGTCACTAGCGGGAAGAACTCATTTATTCCTCTCACAGAGCCCCGTTGAGCAGTGAGTGTGTGTCTGGAATTGTGGGAAGGGTTTTTCCTGTCAGCACAAGCTCCATGCGCCCCCACCAGCTCCCTGGATTCTTCTTCCTGGGAAGAAGCTGAACTGCAGTTCAGTTTCACACTTACTCCTGGAGCCCCACAGCCAGCTAAGGAAGAACAGGGCTGGAGCGATAGAGCACAGTAGGTAAAGCAAGAGTCTTGCACGCACAGCTGACCCAGGTTCAATCTCCAGCACTAAATATGGTTTTTCCAGCTCTGCCAGGAGTGATTCCTGAGCACAAAGCCAAGAGTAAGCCCTGAGCACAAATGAGAGTGACTCAAAAATCAAACAACAACAACAAAAAGGAAGAACACTGTTGGGAAAGCTAGTACATTACCCACTTTGCTCTAGGTCTTCCTTCCTCCCAGCCCTTAAGGCTGCTAGCTGTGATATGTTTTCAGGAAAAGCAGGGGTTGTCTTCAAAGCACTGACAAAAACCCAAAGCCACTTCGAAGAGACAGTCAGTCAGAATCCCAAATGTCACACAAGGGTCTGCTTTACTGAATCAACAAAAAAGTGACCCCTACTTTGATGAACGAACAAAGCCTCAAGGCTTCAGGACATCTGTTTCTTCTCAAGCCGGCTGCCCTCCCTGGCCTGGTTCCCTTTCCCTTTGTTTTCTCTCTTGACAGCGTGTGGGGAGCACCTGCTGTTTGCTGGGACCTCGGAGACTTAGCTGATCTCCGATCTCCGATTTCCGATCTATGATCTACGGGGTGCAGAGCTGAAGAAGGCTTCCTTCCCCCACCCTGGAAACGTTGGCTTGGCAGAGATAAAAATCCTAATAGGGTCCTGGGAGGGAGCTCAAGGATAGAACATATACCTTACATATGTGAGGTTCTTATTTTGATCTTCAGCACCATGTGACCACCCCCCCCCCAACACACACACGGCAGGGATGGCCCTGGTAGCACCCAAGCATGGACCCATCAGCCAAATAA